GCACGGCCCTCACGCTGGGCTCCCTCCTGCTGAGACACACTCAGGTTCCCGGGGGAAGAGACAGGCGTCTCCTCGTCACGCCCAGGCCAGTCCTGCGTCTGCCGGTGCTTTCGCCGCCACCTTCTGCTCTAGAGCAGCCCCTGCCGATGGTCCAGGGAGCCCTGTGGCGCCGGGGGCCGTGGCAGACGCACCACGTGAGCAGGGACTGTAGCCGCGGCGTCCCTGCTGCAGGTCTGCGGTTCGCACGCGGCCCGCGTCAGTGCACATCCATCAGAGAAGTGACTGGCACGAATGCTGTGAGGCTCCCACCCGCCTCCACGGGGGACGAGGCCTGAGCCTGGGTCTGCTCCTCTCCGTTACCTCCAGGCCACCGAGCGACGGGGCCGGGGGCCGGCTCAGACTCCCAGCCTGTGAGCCACACCTGGGTTCTACGTGGGCACGCCTGCCCACTGTGGCCACAGGAAGTCCTCACAGGCTGGTGTGCTCAGTGGTTAGCATGTTGGCCTGAGACTCGTGAGCACCATCAGCAGAGCGGTGGCTGCCAGAGGAAGGGGCGGGTGGAGAGGAGGGGGTCCTACACATGGTGACCGGAGAAGATGGGAGCCTGGGTGGTGGGCACACAGTGCAATACACAGATCCTGTCACACAGAAACCCACCCTGACACCTGTGTGATCCTATTAACCAACGTCGCCCCAATCCATTTAATTTTAAAAATCCAGAGGAGGTGGAAGTTTAGAATTTAATATAATCTCCTCTCTCTCTCTCTTTCTCTCTCCCTCTCCCTCTCTCTCTCTCTCTCTCTCTCTCAGGAAAGAGTCGGCATCAGATCCAAACCTCAGTGATCCTTCCTTCTTAGTGACTTGAATAAACTGCGCACTTATTTTAGGATTTCGCATCTTGTCAAGGAACTGCAGGAAGAGTTTAAAATCCCGACACGGGGATCACGTAACAATGTAAGCTTCGCTCTAAAAATACCTGGAGGGAGAGCGGATAATTCGCCAGCTCCATCGCAGCCGAGGGAGGGGGTTCGGCCAACACCAGTGCCCGGCTCTGTCCTCCGCTGGGGCCGTGCAGCCCGTGGGTCTGTGTGCTTCCTTCTAACGCACACCCTCCCCGCCTGCTTCCCGTCTGGGCAGCCTCCCTCTTCTCCTGCATTGTCAGCGGACGCTGGGAGCCAGCCCAGGCCAGCCAGCACCTCCACCTGAGCTCAGGGACCCTGAGTGGACATGTCCCACGGGCCACACCCATCTCGGTTCACTGGCTCCTCCGCCTCCCTCCCTCTCCCCTGCTCTCCTCCAGCCCAGCTCATGGGATGTCCTTGCTGAGGGCCTGTCCCAGAGCCTTGCAGTGAGAGGCAGGGCTGTACCTCGACACCCCTCCTGTCATCCAGAACACATCACACCTTCTTAGCCCCGCCCCCGTTACCGGACGCTTAGGGAGGTCATTACCTCCCGGTCATTTCTGTGGCACCCCCAGATCTGCGGAGAATTCTTACAGTGTGTCCAGCTGAGGCACAGGACTCTAAGCAGGGCATTAACTGAGCTAAGCCTTGTAGGGACCGGTTCTAACACAGATGGCCAGCCTGCCCATCATGGCTCAGTGGTTAAGCATCGATCTATGAACCAGGAGGTCACGGTTCGATTCCCATCAGGGCACATGCCCAGGTTGCAGGCTCGATTCCTAGTGGGGGGGTGTGCAGGAGGCAGCCGATGAATGATTCTCTCTCATTATTGATGTTTCTATCTCTCTCTCCCTCACCCTTCCTCTTTGAAATCAATAAAAATATATTTTTTGAAAAATAAAATAAAATAGATGACCAGTGTGACAAGAGAGATACCCTTTATTCAGTTTATCAAGGATCCAGCACATTTTCAGAAACGTGTAACCTGGTTACAAAAAAATTTAAAAATCTTTTAAACATTGCAGAGGGGAGAGGAAGAGGAAAAAGTTTGTAAGATATTTTTGGTATTTATTCCTATCCTGCCTTAGTCCAAAAGCAATTTAAATCACATAATATTTTACTGTGTGTGAATATAATAGAATTCATTAAATAAAGTTTTACTCCTATACGTAGGAAAACAGGAAGTAACCAGAAATGACTTGCTAGCCGAGGCCCTCAGGCCCAGCGCGGGGCGGTGTGGACGCAGCCCCCGGAGCCCAGCCTGCCTCCCGCCCCCCCTCACCCCGGGACTGATCGGTGCAGGCAGGCTGCCCACACCTGTCCGTCCAGAGCCCAGACCACCTCCCACCCCCAGACCTGGCTTACCTTCTCTCCGGGGGGCCCGGCCATGCCAGGAGGGCCAGGCCTTCCCTAGGGGGGGAAAGGGGGACACCTGTAATACTGTCAGCAATAACACATACACTTCTCAACTCGGACACATCACTTTGAACACGTGCACGTCACCCGTGACCTTTACGTTCATGAACACACGTCCGTCACTGAGGTGAGGATGGATTTAAGGTGCCGTGTTCTCTGGGTCCCTCCACTCAGGTGCTGGGACCGTTGCTGGACTGCTGGCTGGGCCCCCGAGCCCCCAGCTGCGTGGCACGGAGGCCGAGGCCCCGGCCGGACAGCACTCCAGCCCCAGCCCACCCTGTCCCCCAACAAAACCGACCCCCCTACCAGTGCCAACGCCACCTACCTGCTCCCCCGTCTCCCCAGGCTTCCCGGGGAAGCCATCCAGGCCGCGCTCCCCCTGGCAAAGAAAGAGAATGAAGAGAAGGCCAGATGCCCACCACGGTCAGGGTCACGGAGAGGCAAGCAGAGGCCAAGTGTCCGACTGGATGCGGCTCCACTCTCCCCCGGCGCCTTCAGCTACAGGACATCCACACATACTCGCCACAGCCCAGCGAGTAAGTGCATTAGGGGCCAAGGAGCATGTGCCAAAGGTCAGAGAAACCGGGTTCCTAGCTCTGCTTTTCGTTCCCCGAATCTGACCAAGGGGCGGCCACGGAGCCTCTCTGAACCACAGGCTCCTCATGCCCCGGCCTCCGTGGGGGTCCCACAAAGGCCCATGTGGGTGGGGTTTCATGCCTCAGGTAGGTATTCAGGTCTCAACCCCTCCGCGCTGGGCCCACTGGCTGCAGCTCTGAGGCTCTGACAGCAGAGGGCGTGCGCACCCCACTTAAAGCCAAACCTCCCAGCCTGTCTTCTGGGCTGAAGTTCTGAATTCTGGCTGTTGCTACACACATTTCACATGGGAGGGCGTGTGGTGTGTTTCTTCCACGCCGCTTGCTCCGAAAAGGTGCTATTACCCCTAAGAGGGCGTGGGCTGATGCAAGATGCCTGGCCACGAGGCTGGCAGGCAGTGGCCACGTGGACGGGTGATGATGGCTCCCTCTGGCCCAGCTCTGCCGGGCAGCTGGGCAGGCCGATCGCGAGGGGAGATGGAAACTTCCTTCTTGCGGACGTAAGGGATCTGGTCGGCGAGACTATAGACTGTTCTGAGTACCCGTCAGATCCCAGAACTGGGAGAGAGCCCGAGGGGTCACACGGCCGGGCCTCTGACAGTGGGAACAGGGAGGGGTGCAGGGAAGGGCCTCCGTCACCAGAGTTAGTGCTGGAGTCAGACCTGCCCCCAGGCTGAGCCAGCAGGGCCAGGCTCACATTCCTCCCTCTCCTCCCCTTCTCTCTCTGTCTATCCGTATTCTAAACACATGTCACATGCTGCCCGCACCATTCTCGGGGTTTTACAGGTGGTCACGCTCTTACTGCGCAGAGCAGCCTTCTGTGCAGATGCAGTCCTCCCGGCCTGAGGGAGTCTGACACTCAGAGTGAAAATAACCCCCCGGAAGCCACGCTGGGACCCAAGGCAGGCGGGGCCCAAGTCCCTGCGCAGGAGGCCACGGGACATGCCGAGCTTCCTCTCCCAGACCTGATGGAGGGGCCCGTGCACCCCACAGGCCTGTGCACACACACACACGCACACACATGCACACACACACACGCACGCACACACGCACACACACAAGCACAACGCACGGCCCAGTGCCCTCTTCCTTTTCCCACGGGAGCCTGCCTTAGTGTGTGGAGCGACTGCACATACCTTTTCTCCTCGGGCTCCCCGCTCCCCTCGCTCTCCCTGGAGACCCTGGGGGTGGGGGGTGGGGGGAAGGTTAGTCACAACATCTTGGTCCAGCTTCTCTGTCCTCACCGTGGGGCGGCGCACGGCTGCGTGGGACGGGGTGAGGAGCCCCCCCATGAGGCCTCCCTGCACCCGGCAGGCTGCTCTCCCCCTCAGCCTGCCAGGGGAGGGGCTCCTGGCTGGTCCCCTGGGCGGGGTGACCCCGGGCCTCCCGGCGAGACTGCAACACACCTGGCCCCGGAGCTCATCTGGCCAAGGGCAGGCTACCGAGTCAGGCCCATGGCCGCCCGGCGCTGCGACCCGTCACCGTCACTCCACCGACACGTGCAGACGGTGGTCCCCGTGGATGGATGGGGAGGGGGCTTGTCCAAGAGCCTGGGTCTCCCACCCCCGGAGAAGGGGACAGACCAGCGTGGTACTTACAGGAGCCCCGACGTGGCCGGGAGGGCCGGGAAGTCCAGGCGGGCCCTGGAACCCCTGTGCGGAGAGTCATAGGTTTGTGGGCGGGAAGCAAGGCAGGCGCAGGCCACGCTCAGACACTCCGCGTGGGGGTGCGATCCCTCTCTCCCCTGCCGCTGCTGCCCTGCTGCTCCCCAGGTCCCACTGAGACCCCAGACCACTAGCCCCCCCCCAGGACCCCCTGCTACCCTCTGCCTGGAGGGCCAGGACTCACCCCCATCTGCCCAACTGCACGGACTAGCGACCAGTGTGTCTGAGCTCTGATGAGGCCAGTGCGACCATTCCCACTTCCACTTGCCTCCTGACCAGTGCCCCTTGCCCCGACCTGTGCCCCTTACCCCCTGATCTGTGCCCCTTGCCCCATGACTTGTGCCCCTTGCCCCGACCTGTGACCCTTACCCCCTGATCTGTGCCCCTTGCCCCCTGACTTGTGCCCCTTGCCCCGACCTGTGCCCCTTGCCTCCTTATCTGTGACCCTTGCTCCCTAACCTGTGCCCCTTACCCTCTGATCTGTGCCCCTTACCCCTGACCTGTGCCCCTTGCCCCCTGACCTGTGCCCCTTGCTCCCTAACCTGTGCCCCCTGCACCCTGATCTATGCCCCCTGCCATCTGACCTGTGCCCCTTGCACCCTGACCTGTGCCCCTTGTGCCATGATCGGGCCAGGACATGCGCACAGCTCCCGATGCCCGTGGCCGAGGCCTGCAGCGCTCACTCTGCCACCAGCCTGTGCAGCCTGACAGGGCCCCAAGGCTCCTCCGTCACCCGCACCAGGAATGGCTACAGCCTCTAAGTAACTGATCCGGCCATTTCTATTAGAAGCTACTCAAGTTCAAAGGCGCATTTCCTCAGCACAAGGTGTGCCACCCCGTGTCCTCTCTCCCTCTGAGATAAAGATGGAGGACACAGGAGAAACCGCTTCGTTGACTTGAGTGGAAACGAGTGACCTCGGAAGCCGCCCCGGGGCCGTGAGTGGGGAGTGTGCACATTTCGCTGCCCGGGGCGTGAGCGGAGGGCACGGCCCAGGAGAACGGCGTCTCCGTGCTGCTGTGGGAGGGTCCCTGGTCTCTTGTGAAATGAAGCCGGTAAACGCAGAGCGCGGGGGCTTCATTTTGTAAGAATTTAGGAAAAGTCACCTATGGACAGACACACCCAAGGGAGGGAGGCATCTGGCCCTCCCCCCACCGAAAGGCGTCAGTTTGCACCAGGCTCGCCCCCTGGGACGCGAGAACACAGCTGCAGCGACTCACCCGCATGCCCACCTCGCCAGGCAGCCCCGGCTCTCCAGGCTCCCCCTGCACACACGGGACAAACAACACCGTCAGGACCCAGGGGCCTGGGCCCAGCCACACAGGCAGCGCCCACCTGGGGCCCATTCCTGGAGCTCAGGACGCATCGGGGGGCAGGGCAGCCCCGTGGTCAGAGCCCAGGCCCCTCGAGCCTCCTTCTGGGAGCGAAGGAGCTGGCCTTGGTTGGGAGGTGTCACCCATCGCGCTGCTGAGGCTCTCGGAAGGGTGGACAGGCAGTGGGCAGTCGAGCCACGGGGGCGACAGGAGGCTCTCCTCACAGAGGAGCGGGGGGGTCTGGAGCCTCGTGGGGCTCCCCTTTCTCTCCTGTCTCCACCCAGACCTCCCGTCCTCAAGTGCTAAAGGCGGTGGGCTCAGGGGGCTCCCCCGTAGGGCTCCCACACTGAGGCCTGATCACTGTGGCTGGAATTGTGAAGGGAGCCAGGGTGGCACCCAGACCTGGCCTCCGCTGGGTTCTCGGTGGAGAAGGCTGAGCCCAGAGGGGAGACCGCTCTGTCCGGGTCCCGGAGCGGGTTCCCGTGTGGCGGTGGGAGGGGTGCGGCACAGGGAGGCGGGCTGGCCATGTGGGGGACAGTGCTGTGCGGGTCCCACCCCAACTCCTCCAGCTACACACGGGGGTCGTGGGCAAACCCCTCCCCTTGGACCTCCATTTGGTTCCAAGTCTGGACATTGGGGACACGACCTCCCATGCAGAACTAACTGAGAAACAGCTTCCAAGTGCAGGCAGGCGAGGCTGGAGCCGCTGCTGCTGCTGCTGTTGCTATAACCAAAGGCTGCCCTCCAGGGGCCTGGGAAGACGTCTGGCCCTGGCAGAGGCCATCCCAGCGAAGGGCAAGGGGTCCTGGCCTGGCAATGCCCTGTGGGGAGGGCGGTAGGAGCACACGTACCCGCACGCCTTTGCTGCCGTCTCTCCCGGGGGGGCCGGGCGGGCCCAGGGAACCCTAGGAAGAGAGAGAGCACAGCGTGAGCACAGGATGAGGCGGCGCTGGGACGAGCTCCTGGCATGCCGGCACCAGGGGACAGGCGGGCAGGATGGGCCCAGGTGTGGCTGCTCAGAGGGTGGCCCACCCTCCCCCAACCCACCTGCATCTGGGCACCTGGGAGGGTGAAAGGCACAGGCGCTCGTGCTTCACGCGGGACCTGCTGTGCTGGCTCACAGGGTAGCAGGACCCGGAGGTCTGCCTGCAGCTGAGCGTGGGTGAGAGGAAGGGCCACCTCCCTGCCCTGCGCGCAGCGCGTCCACCTGGCTGCCAGTTCAGGGCCACACGGAGAGCAGAGCCCGGGCCTGAGGCCAGGGGGCCAGACAATTCTTTGTCGGGGCTGCCCTGGCTGTGAGGTGGCCACAGCATCCCCGCTGCCATAACCAAGACTGCCTCCAGATACTGCCAAGGGCCCCTGGGAGGCAAGACGGCCCCCGCTCAGAACCAACCGGCTAGCGCAGGCATTCGCTTTACTCTGAAGCTGGGCTGGAGGTCTCCACTGGACCAAGACACACGCAGAAGCTGGTGACCAGCACCCCGAGAGGCAGTGTGAGGTGAAGGGAGACCCGGGCCAGGCCGCTCACCTCCCTGCCCCTCCCCCGTGCACATTTCCCCAAGGGACTGGGGCCACTTAAAAGCAGGGGACTTAGGCTCCCGGGCCAGGTCCCACCATCTGATTCAACTCAGGATCCCGCCGAGACCCCCAGCCCAGCCTCCCTGTCCCTTTCCGTGTGATCCGGAGCGAATCGATGCTCCTGTGTGGAGGAGCCGGGGCCGCGGGCAGGGGCTCCCGGAGCCCGAGAGGAGGGGCGGCCTTCCTCAGAGCACCAGGAGGAAAGACGGGGACCGCCCACTGGCAAGCACTGCACCCAGGGGGTGTGGGAGGGGAGATGTGCTCCTTGGTCCTCAGGGATGCAGGGCAGGTGAGCCCTTGGATGCTCCCCATGGAACCTCTGCCACTGAGCAGAACCAGTGAGGCCCCTGCTGGTCCTGTCTCGGCCGCACCCGTCAAAAGAGTGACACTAGGGACAGGGCTCCGCCCAAGGTGGCTCGAAAAATGCCGTGATGAGGCTTTGCATACAGGGGGACTGGAAACCAGCATCAGTACCGCCATTTCCGGTAAACGATCCAAACCTCATTCTTCCCCTGTGAAAAGGAAATCGCCCGCCCAGCCGGCGTGGCTCAGTGGTTGAGCATCGACTTATGAACCAGGAGGTTGAGGTTCAATTCCCAGTCAGGGCACATGCCCAGGTTGTGGGCTCCATCCCCAGTGTGGGGCATGCAGGAGGCAGCCGACCAGTGATTCTCTCTCATTATTGATGTCTCTCTCTCTCTCCCTTTTCCTTCCTTTCTGAAAGCAATAAAAATATGTTTAAAAAAATAGAAGGCAATCACTCAGGGTAAGAGGATGACACTAGATAAGCCCGCGAGACCCGTTACGGACAGGAACCAGGGCTGGGGAAGAGGCGCATCCCCTGTTCACACTGCGGCTGTGACTCTAAGTCTGCCCTGAGCCCAAGTCAAGGCCCCGACCTCCCTGTGCACCCACACCCTGCCTCTGTGAGCTCACTGGGAGCCGCCCGGAGAAGGACATCTGGCAGGAAGTGGCCGCCACGCCCAGGTGTCAGAACCAGAGCTCCAGGAATTGGGTGGTTACCTCATTGGGCAAAACACCGAGGAAAGGAGCCGGCATCCCGTACTTCTGGTCCATGAACGAACAGGGCCTTTCTCTAAATGTTTACCAAGAGGTTGCTCATGGCAGGAGGGGTGGTGTGAGCTCTTCACCACCTGGGGGAGCCAGGCCAGCACTAAGGGTGAGGTCCAAGAGGCCCTCTGGGCCGCGGTCCTCAGCGGGGGCCTGGCGCCGGCAGCCTCGGACACTGGGGTGCAGCCCAGCAAGCTGCTCTCACAAGCCGTCCAGGCAGTTCGGGCGCTCGGTCAGTGTCTGAGAACCGCTTCTCAGCACCGCTAAGCGCAGGCTGGGGAGTCGGACAACAGCCCAGGTCCAGGCTCAGCCACGTAGACAGACAGGCTCCCTTGCTCCTGCTCACGTGGTTGGTAAGCGTGTAAAGCGGGGACAAGAACACCCCCTAAACTGAGGCGCGGGTGCAGCAGCCCTTATAAACACCGGTGCTGCCAGCATCCTCGGATGCTTGGTGAGCCGTTTCGGATGAACTGAAGAGAGGAAAGGACAGCTCCCCCTGTACGTCAGCCACCTGGAATGCACTTTCTAATAACGCCCCTCCCCCCGCCCCCAACCCCCGGCTTCCTGAGGCTTTGGGAGGTCAGGTCATTTCCCAGCCGGGGGCCGCCCCTGGGGATCAGACCTCACAGATGTGGAGGGCAGAGAAGACGTCATTTGTGTATAAAAAATGGAGCACCATGCTGCCGAAAGGGTAATTACACTTAACACGTATGAGCACTCTCCACAAATATAACTCATTTATTTTCATTGGCTCATTTCATCCTTGTAGCAACCCTCTGGGGCAGCTGACAATCGCTGGTTTATAGCTGAGAAGAGCGAGGGGTGCAGGGGTGGAGTGACTGCCAAGGGCCACGCAGCTGTGAGGGGCAGAGCCCTCGGCCTCCCGGCCCCCCCAGGCCAGCGGCCCAGCCATCCAGCATTCGCACCCCCCCCCCATAAATGCTCCCACCTGCTGTGAGCAGCCCTGGGTCCTGGGATGGTCCTGAGTGTCGGACGGAGCTGGGGGAAACGCAGATGTCCCTGTCCAGCTCTGCCTGGGGCTGTGAGGTCCCCTAGACCAGTGGTCGGCAAACTGCGGCTCTCGAGCCACATGCGGCTCTTTGGCCCCTTGAGGGTGGCTCTTCCACAAAATACCACGTGCGGGCGCACATGTACAGTGCGATTGAAACTTCGTGGCCCATGTGCAGAAGTCGGTATTTTGTGGAAGAGCCACACTCAAGGGGCCAAAGAGCCGCATGTGGCTCGCGAGCCGCAGTTTGCCGACCACTGCCCTAGACACACAACTTCCACTATGCGTCCTTCAGCACCACGGACAGGGTCTGCGGCACCTTTATTTATGCCAACTTTTGGCATTTTGCCCACAACCTACAGGCTTTCTGAGGGCGCACAAGCAGCTAACTTATTTTACCCTAAACCCTTTAATTATCATAAAAATAGGAGGCCCTCCACCACAGTTATCCAACTCAGTGGCCATGAATAACACACATTAGCGCACAGGCTAAGAATAGGACCGGGCGCTGAGGAAGCCGGCCATGACCAGCGAGAAGGGGACCCAGAGCCAAAGGCAAAGGGCATGAACGGACCTCAGACGTCTCTCACACACACACACACACACCTACAGTCGTGTGTCAGGGCCCAGACGCTCTGCAACACGGCCCTTGGACACAATGAGCTGCTCCCCACAGGGGCCTGGTTTTGAGGGTCAGGGATTCTCAGGTCTGAGCATCACGTGGGGAAACTGGGTGAGTAGGGTCCTAGGGTCAGACAGACAGACAGACACGGCCTCTGTCCCCTCCCCCCACCGCTGGGAGTCACTTTTTGGCAGGTGGGTCGTCCCCAATGCCCCTCAAGCCGCCCGCCTTGCCCGAGAGGCGGGACGGTGCGTGGTCCACAGCGTGTGGAGGGCCCAGTGCCGTCCAACTTCAAATCAGAGAAGGAAGCGCCCGCCCCCGGGGGGGGGTGGAATACGTGGGGGCAGCAGCTGCTTTTCTCAGACCTGGGGGCTGGTGGCTCACTGACAGCCTGCACCCGCCTCCCCTCAAACCTCCTGAACATCTCTGGCCTCAGTTTTCCAACTGGCACCGACTTCTTTAGCTTCATGGAGAGCCAACCCGCAAAGACCCTCCTACGCGATGACCTCAGAGCTCAGGCGCCTGCACGAGGCCCTGGCAGCCTCTCGGGTCGTCCAGTTGAAGCTTCCAGACAGCCTCTCGGGTTGTCCAGTTGAAGCTTCCAGAAGGCAGCGAGCATCCTGGGAAGCCGGGGCGGCCTGGGCTGGTGTCAGCAGTGCAGATACCCCTGGCCCCAGCTGTCCCCAGTCGGGGTGATGGCCCCGCTAGAAACGGGAGGCAAGCATAAAGGACAAGGAACCGACGCCCGAGTGACCTAAAGCTCTGTCTGCCGCGGCGTCCCGCCCAGGAAATTCAGCTGAGCCTGCGCATCTGCTCGGCGTTTTTTCCTGGTGCGCGGCCCTGAGGAGTCTGGGCACAGAATCCATACGGAGCTGTATTTACTGCCGAGTGGGCTGCTGTGGAAATGCTTAAGGCAGGCTTTTGGGTGATTGTTTCTGGGTTTTTCCCTCTAGCGAGTGCTGAGTAATGAGTTGCTGACCCAGGCACCGCTCTGCGGACGCTCTGCCCCAATTCCGTCCCTCGCGTCTCCAGGGCCCGGGCATCTGCGAGGGGTGGGCCAGACGCCGCGAGGGCCGTGGGGCGGCTCCCTCCCCTGTGCTGCTCCTTCCCACTCCAGGGAACCCAGGCTCCTCAGCACATCCCCTCCCTGCCCTGGGCTCGGCCGGCCCTGCCTGGAGGCCTTCTCCCACTGTCTCCCGGCCCAGCTCAGCTCTAATGTGGGTACCAGCCGCCTTCTCCAAGGCAGCACGGACGGCAGGAAGCACACTGCAACCTCCATCCTCCGTCGGGGCCACGGGAGACCTGGCCCCGGTGAGCCCTGACTCCGCTCAGCAGTGTCGGTCACCAGGACCCACTCCGGGCCGACTTTGAGCTCCCTTCCCCTGCTCAAACTGGCCCGTCTCATGGCAGCCCAACAGCAGGGATTTGCAGCTCCAGCCTCCCACCTCAGACCAGGGGACGGAACCACTGTCTCTGGACTCCTAAGCAAAAGCACCGAGTTCGTTTGGTATGAACTAACGTAGCAAAAAGGTGCCTGAGCCCGGCTGGTGTGGCTCAGTGGTTGAGCAGATTTTTACATGCAGCTACCGTGTGCCAGGGACAACGCCAGGTGCTTCCACAGGCATCATCAACCTCCTACAACCACCCCCCCCCCGCCACAGTCCAGGGGGTCGACATGCATGGCCCCACTTCACAGATGAGGAAGCCGAGGCCCAGAGAGGCAGTAACCAAGCTCTCCCAGCCACTGCAGAGCGGGATCCAGACCAAGTCTGCCCACCTCCCCCAACCTGGTTTGAGCCCCAAACCAAGGCTCCCCTTGTCCTCCCTCCTCCCAGGGGCCAGGAAAGGAGGCCAACCTGAAAGGCAGGCAGGGCCTCTCCAGACAGAGGTCACATGGCAGGGGCCCTGCAGAGCCAGCCTGGAGCCTGCGCTCTGGATGCCCGACACCAGAGGGCGCTGTGCGCCCAGGAAGGCTGCAGCCTCCTCCCTTGGAGTGTAAGGGCAGGTGTGGAACCTGAGCACTGGGGCCCGGGGGCGGGGCTCTGAACCACATGGAGTCACAGGGTGGCCACTGTCAGCCCCACATCAGGCACCAGGAGGCTCAGACTCGCAAACTCACAGCAAAGTCACCGGCCAGGTGGGCCGGGTGCAAAGCTCACGCTGGGCTGGGGGTCACGCTCTCTCAAACTGCTCTGTGTCCCCCTGCAGCGGTCACTGTGTGTGCCTGTGCCTTTAACAGGAGGACACACGAGGCCGGTGCCCAGCCCTGGAGACCCCGCCTCTCCCATCACATTCTCACCGGTCACACCTCTCCCAGACCCGAGGCCTCGCCCTGTCCCAAGCCGCCTCCGCAGCCCTGGGGAGTCCGACAGCAAGGGAGACGCTTACCTTTTCACCCTTTTCTCCGTGGACGAACGGTCCCCGGCCCTGAAAAGGAAAGAAAAGGACAGAGGTGACCCGGGGCCTGGCATTGCATGGCAGCAGCTCCTGGGGATGGGACACGGTGGGCACCTCCTCGTCACTCTGCCCGGGAGCCTAAGGGATGGCACCGCCGTGCAGGCGACGATTCTCGTGAGCACCAGCGCATTCAAGTCCCCCACAGCTCCGCGGCCTGTGCGCTACCTTCTCTCATGTCAGCCTCAGGGAGCTTTAACCCGCACACCCTGTAACTCACATACTTAACGTGCACAATTCGAGGGCTTTCGTTCCTTACCGAGTGGGCACCCATCGCCACAGTCAGCTTGGGGCGTTTCCTCCCCTCAGAAAGTGCCCTGCCTGTCGGGGCCACTCCCCTGCCCCCCGCGCCTGGCCCAGGACCACGCTCGCTGGTCTGTCTCGATGGGTCGGCCTCGTCCAGACATTTCATAGAGGGTGTTCAGTTTAGTGACGCATGTCCCCTGGAGCTTTCACCTCTCTGCCCTTCAGGGTTTGTGCTGTGCTGCCCTGAGGAGGGGTCTCTGTGCTGATCCCGCCTGGAACTCACTGAGCTTCTACCACGTGTCCATGACCGCTTCTCGCCCACTCGGGACGCCTCAGCCGCACGTCTGGAACCCTTCGGCTCCCCTCCCTCCTCTCCTCCTGGATTTCCCATCCTGGGCACATGGGGGACACGATGCCCCCCCCACCTGTCTCTGAGGCTCTATCCATCTGTCTTCATGGTTTTTCCCTCTGAACCTGGGATGATATCATCTCTATTGATCTAGATTCAAGAATGCGGCTCTCCAGCCAGCGTCCAGCCCACTGTGGGGTCTCTAGTGATTTTCTCCTATGTTTCTGTTACTGTCATTTTAAACTCCAGAATTCCCACTTGGCTCCTTTCCATGATTTCTATCTCTTTTTAATACTCAGTGTCTGATGAGATGTTGTCACATGACCTTCCTGTATTTCTGTAAGAGTGGTTTCCTGTGGTTCTCTGGATGCAGTTAGAACCGAGTGAAATCCACCCCGTGCCCACAGACAGGAGGGAGCCTGGGTTCATCGTGAGGGAGGTACGGGACTCGGTGCCTGGCTCCCATCAGGGGCTCCGTGCGTTCCAGGGACAGGCATGACTGGGGCCCCCGGGTTTCCCACCCCAGCCACGCAGAGGAGGGGTGCCCTCACTCACCGAGTCGCCTTTCTCACCCTTGGGTCCCGGAGCCCCGAATGGCCCGGGGCCTCCCCTGTCGCCCTGAGGAGTTGAAACCAGAGATGAACATCACACAGGTCCTCCCACAGGGTTCCCCTCACAGGTGCCCACAGCCCGCGTGCCCCACCCGAGGAGCAGCTGATCTCGGCATGGTCCCCTGCCCACCCTGAGTAACTGCCCAGCCACCTCCTCCAGGAACGAGGGCCTCTGAGAAAGCGAGTGGCTGCAAGGAGATCACACTTGTCCCTGGGAATGGCCTGGCCCTGCTCTGAGCCCAGGCCCCCGGGAGCGTTAGAAGCCCCAGGTCTGCCTGGCCAGTGCGGCTCAGTGGCTGAGCGTCAACCTATGAACCGGGAGGTCACAGTTCGAATCCCGGTCAGGGCACATGCCCGGGTGGCGGGCTCGATCCCCAGTGTGGGGCGTGCAGGAGGCAGCCGATCAGTGACTCTCTCTCATCATTGATGTTTCTCTCTCCCCCTCTCCCTTCCTCTCTGAAATAAAAATACGTTTAAAAAAGCTTTTTAAAAGAAGCCCCAGGTCGAACCCCAGCTCGGCTGCTGCTGAGTCAGAGCTGTGTCCCCTGCCACTCCTTGCCCACAATTTCGGGGTGAGAAACGGAGGTGCTGAGCAGGGGCCCAGAGGTCCTTAACCTCACGCCGCTGCCTTCTCCTTCCATCCCACCCAGCCGGGAGCCACGCCTGCGGGACAGGGACCGAGCACCGGTTCTTTCTCACAGGGAGAGCACGGCTGAGGCTGCCCGTCCCCAGAGCCACCCCGCCTGCCCCAGGACTGACCTTCGGGCCGGGCAGTCCCACGGGGCCACTGGAGCCCTTTTCTCCCTGAAGGGAAAAGGAGAAAGGGCACGAGTAAGGCTGTGTTTAACTCCTCCCCTTCTCCCTGCACAACAGGGCTCTCCACCCCAGGAGCCATGGCCAGTCTCTCTGTGAGCCATGCGCTGAGAATCTCCAAGTGCGTCCCTCCAAGCGACTGCATCCGCGCATCCAGGTCTGTCTCCTTCCTCCCTGGCAGCGTCACCGAGCACCTCCGGGTGCTGCCCGGCTGGGAGGGGCAGACACAGCCACAGACTAGACCGCAGGCCAAGGCCCGGGGCTGTGGGTCCGTGAGCCTCATGGAGACCCTGCCCAGCACGATTCCGCTTTTGTCATCTTGGTGCTGTTGGTGTCCGTGATGCCCAGCAGTGGACAGTGTTTTGTTCAGTGTTTTCTTACCCAAAGGGCCAGTGGTCCACAGAAAAACAGAACAGACGGCCGCCCGGGCACTCGATGACACACTGAATCTACGTAATGGATGCGGTGTGTTCACAGATGCACACTCGTTTTTAAAATTAGAACAAGATCTATAAAAACCTACTGGTCTACGCACTGAGGTTACAGAGTCCGGCTAATTAAAGAAACGTGGAGAAGGAGGGATGAGGGTGTCCACAGAGCACGGCCACACCCCACCACAGCCCTTCTCAGTCCGATTCACAAACCAAGTCCTGCTTGGCTTAGCTGCCCGCGAGGGCAGGGGATGCGGGTGGGGCCGGGACTCCGCGGGAACCCCTCACTGACTTCAGGAAAATGCCCTTGGAGCTGAGTGAGGAGCCCCCGTCCTGGCATTCACACGGCCGAGAAGTGAGAGGTCCAAGGAGCAAGAACACTTCCCTGACCTGAGAGTCACGGGCGCCTGGGAGCCTCAGGCCCTGGCAGAACACATGCATGATGGGAAATTCCCACCTCCATGGCCGGGCCTGCGGGCCAGCCTGCCCGCTCAGCTCTGGGGCTGCCGGCTGAGGACTGAGACGGGGCTGCAGGAGGTACCTTCTCTCCGGCTGGGCAGGAGCAGTTGATGGTCTTCAAGAACCCGATCTGCTCGCTGCCGGCGGTGGGTGGCGGTGGGGGCAGGGGCGGGGGCTCGGTCCGCACGGTCACCTGGCACTGGAGGGAAACCCGGCGGGTCAGCACCTGCTTCTCACCCAGCGCCACTCCCCGCCAGGCTCCGCCTGGAGCCTCCTCACCCCGGACAGACCTCACGGCCTGCTCGCCCCGCTGCACCAGGAGACGGGTCCCTAGCAATGATTCCGGGTCCCTGCCAGGTCCCCTTCTAATGGTGGGCGTCCCCTGAACCCGGACTGCCCCTCCCCAGGCCTGGACACCCCCCTTCTGGAGGCCCAGGACCCGTTTCCTCCCGGCCTCTCTGTGCAAGGACGGCTCACCGGGCCCGAGGGGATGTCACAGCACGTCTCCAGCTCCGCGTGGCGGGAGTCGCAGTAAATCACAATTCGCTGCAGGTCAAACTGAAAGAGAGCCAGGGCGAGGGGGCGTCCTGGAACCCGGGACCCTGCCAGGGTGTGCACCTGACAGGACTCGTCAAGGGACACGCTAGCATCTGTGCAGTTTACTGAGCAATCCCACCTCAACGAAGAAAAAAACAAACTATCTGTTTATCGAGTTAGTTTAGCCTCGCCGCCGAGACCAAGCTGCTTTATTTACCACGTAAAAATCATCTAGACGTTTCAAAGGCATTATGAAAATCAATTTAGGTTATATTTTTAGTACCTGAACCAAAGTAGGGACACACGTAATTAGTAAAGTGAACAAACAGTAGGGTTATTCTATATTACATAAGCATGTATAACTAAACTACAACTATACTATTTGCCAGTACTAAGTAGTATGCATACGGGCTATATGCATAGTATTTTTTAAATAGATATATAGAGATATATAGATATAGATATAGATATGCAGATAAACGTACCCTGGACCAGTGCTGAGCTCAGTGCCTGGCACACAATAGGTGCCCAATATAGATGTGATCAATGATTGGCTGAATGGCTGGCTGATTGAATGAATGAGTAAGTGAGTGAATGATGTGACCTTGGGCTCCCACATGGCAGTTCTGAGTCAGGGTCCTCCCTTCTAAGATGGAGCGGGCGATGACTCGACAAATGATACAGGCAGGTGTGGGGGCATGGGGAGCACCCGGTACTCACGTCGATGGGCACGCTGTCGTAGAGACGCTTGCCGATCACGGTCTTGCCCTGGATGTCAATGTTCTCCCTCTCCTCGATGGGCAGCGTCTGCACCAGCGCGCAGTCGATGTACAGGGAGACGTTCTGGGCCTGGATGCTCAGCGCCAGCTTGTGCCAGTCCCGGTCAAAGAGGTCGTTGACCCGGGTGCCGCGGAAGACCACCCTGACGGCGTCCTTCATGGCACCCACAGCGTTGTACTCGACGGCCTTGTTCTCGCCGTCCAGGCGGATGGAGACCTGGGGGGAGACCAGAGGCTCCGTGAGCTGCATGCGACCGAGTGGGAGGGGCCTTCCTCTCTCTCGGCCCAGGGAGCCTGAGGCACATTTCAATTCCCTGCCCGCATGCTTCTGTTGGGGTGGAAACCTGGAAAACCACAAACCCTGACTGATAACCCAACACGTAATGCAATACGCCTTCTAGTTCCTGAAACTGGCTTCACAGGTTGGAGCCCCGTGTCCTCGACCATCTGGGGGCTCCGGAGAACCTGGGGCTCCCCTCCAGGTTTCCATTCTTCCAGCAGGTGCAGATCGGGGCCGGGGAGGGTGGCGGACCCGAGGCCTGAGCCTACCAGCACGGGCTGGGCCCCGGCGGCACTTCACGGCTCAGACCCATCGCAAATCCTGTTGGTTTTATCTTCATCCACCGAGGCGGGCCACGTCCCCACAGGTACTCTGCCTACCGGGGGGCCAGTCAGCGTCATCTTGCCCGGACGACTGTAACCGTCTCCCTGTTTCTAGGCTGCCCACCTCCCGGGGCCTGGTCTCCAACAAGACCCTAACCTGCCGACAAGGCCAGGACCGTGGCCTCACCTCTAACGGCCCCTCACGCTGCCCCTTTATCGTGTCGGCATGAGTGACGGCCCTCGGTTTCTCCAAACGGCAATGGGAAGTGCCAGTGTGCAGGGTGGCTGTGAACACTAAGTCCGATCACGGACCTGGAAACCTCCGGGAGCAGATGGGCAGGGCTAAGGGCATGGACGGCCGGCGACCCCGTCCCGCTCAGTGTCCCAGGACCTCCCAGGGCACGGAGGTGCCCCATCACACTGCCAGGGGCGGCAGCCACCCAGGCTGCCCAGTGACGGTGAACTGCCCGGCGCCTCTGGGAAGAGGAGCCTGAGGTCCTGGCAGGCGGCTCAGCCTCTGCCCGGCTCATCTCGCAGCATCTCAGCTCGGCCGGCCGGCAGACGGAGGGGGAGGCGGGCAGGCCGGCGGGAGCACCAGCTCTGCAAACCTCATAAAGGACCAGGACCCAGACTGCGGGGGAGGCGCGGGCTGGCCCACAGGAATGTCGTGGCCGGCGCCCAGCCCGTGGCTGAGACCCTGGGAACCGGAGAAGTAGGACCGGGTGCTGGCAGGCGAAGGGTGAGGGTCAACACGAGCTGCCTGCTCTCCAGAAGGGCCCAGGAGGACTCTCGTCCCTGCGCGCTGCCTCCCACACGGAGAAACTGGGCCGCGCGGCAGGCAGCCTGGGAAGCCCGTGGTCATTGTGACCAGGGCCGCAACAGGAACATCACTCGTCCATCAGGACGAACTCATGAGACAGGAGCCGCCGAACACGGTGGAGAAGAGACAGACTTGGGGGTTGACTGCCCGGGTTCAAATCCCGCCTCTCCTCCCACCACCTGTAAGAGGCAGCACAGGCCTAACCTCTCCTCTCACCACCTGTAAGAGGCAGCCCGGGCCTAACCTCACTGTGGCCAGTGCCCTCCCTTGTGAGATGGTCCAGCAGGTCCACTCACGGGGCTGTGATGAGGACTGAGTGAGCTGGGATGTGGGAAGCTCGCAGGACCACCCCCGGCTCCTACCAAGTGTGCACGCGTGGGTGAGCACGTGTGGGTGAGCACATATGGACAAGCACGTGTGGATGAGCTCGTGTGGGTGAGCACATGTGTGCCAGGTCAGGGTCCGGGGAAGCTGGTCTCCACGCGAGGGCCTGAGCCGCCTCCGTGCTAATGAAATCCCGAGTGCAAGTACAGTTGGCACCCCCAGCTGGGGAGCCCTGTCTTCCTTCACATGGTTCATGATTCAGGAGAGAACAGGGCAAACCACAGACAAAGACGGGCTGGCCCATGGACACCGAAGCCGGGCCCTGGGCCTCAGCAGAGCACAAGGCAGAGTCGCCGCCTGGGGTGGAAACCTAAGTCAGCCGGCTTCCTCCCCCGGCCACGGCTGCTCGTGGGCTGACCCACCTTTGCAGGGACGGAGCCCACACACACCAGGTGGGCAAAGACCCGCTGCCCTGCTTCAGGCAGCGTGACACCCAGACGGTCCCGGGAGGGCTGCCTGTGACCAGCGGCATTGGTGTCAGGCACTGCGCCAGGTGCGGCCACCGACCCGGGGTGGTGGGTTTGTGTCCAGGTCACGGCGAAGAACATCAAGACCCAGAGGACCACTCTCAGGGCCAGGGCCAGACACAGATCGGAACCGGGTCTGCTGACCCCGAGCCACTTTCTCCTCCTCCGTCCCGAGCCTCGCTCAGGCTGCGGACAGACAGTGCCATCGGCCCGCAGAGCAGCTGCCACGCCTGCGGGAAGCAGGTCCTCGCCCACCGGAGAGCCAGCACGCCACCCTCCCGGGG